CTGATGATAGATCTACATCGGATTCCGCATCAGAAAATTCTTATAGCATCACAGACGATTCAGAGTATTCTAGTTATGAAAGCATTTTTGACTCTCATAAACGAAAATGTAGTGACGTCTTAGGAGGTCAGCGCAATATATTTCAATACTAATATTATCAGTTATTGCACAGCGTCATTAGACGTCGCTTTAGTTTGTATGAAAAAATTATGTGCAATATCACATAGAGCTACTATATTGAAGTGTGTGCATGAACGTGTTAATTTAGAAAAAGAATGAGGGTTCCGCGCAAAAACATTAAAACTCATGAAATCCAATCGTAATAAATTACACGCGGGCGAAGTTGCGGGGAACAGCTAGTTAATAGATAGGAAATGATATTTATAATTTATAGGAGTCAGGCCACCTAAACGCGCACGGCAGCGGCCCCGTCAATGGAGAAATGAAATTCGTTCCGTATATATATTAACATTTCAAAAGATGTTTTTATTCATGATTAGGTCAGTATTAAGACATTTAAGAAATGGGTCAGATATTATGATAATTTTATTCATTATGGTACATTTTATTTATTTAATAAATGTATTATTTATTTTTATCTTTTACCCCACCTTCTTAGTTCGCCATCATGAAGGTATTATAATCACATTGAACTAGGTCTTTATAAACCCTTTCAAATGAGTTCAAACACGATCATTCTACTTAGTGCCGTCCACCTTCGGATTGCACCATCAGAAAGGTGAGGTCATAACAGTCACCTAGGTCTTTATGAGCCCTTTCAAATGAGTTCAAACACGATCGTTCTATCTAGTCATGGGTCAGATATTATGATAATTTTATTCATTATGGTAAATTTTATTTATTTAATAAATGTGTTATTTTTATTTTTATCTATTTATTAAATTACCTATCTGTAGAGCGGGCGACACCCCACTGATACTAACTTAAACTCTGGTTACGGTGAGGTCAAAAATGTCCGTGGGCATGGGCACATTCTGAAGGTCTTATGATGACCAGATAATGCTTATCGGTTTTCAGTAACGGAAATAGTTAGGATGGCCTAGCTTTCTATGTTTATCTAATTGAGCTCTCGACGCGTTACATACTAAAATAAAGTTGAAGCACCCAAACGTCACGAATGAAAATAAGTTAAACAAAATAAAATCCGAAAAATTTATTTTATTAAATGTGTAGTATTCCTATAATAAATCAGTCAAAAATCATTGAATTCAAAATACTGAGTACAGGTAACTTGGTCATTTATAGGAATTGATGTTAACTTGTAGGTTTTCTTGAAGTACGCAGATATTTTCGTCTTCTGGTTGAAGTTGGTTATGCTTTTTCCGTTCTGCCTTGTTTTTATTGCCTGTCTAATATATGGTCGATTTCTAATTTTGTACCTACTTGGGAGTTTTGCCGCTTTTTTAATTGACTGAAAACATTATAAAGTGAGTAATAATACTGTTTGTACTATTTATTATATTTATATTATTTGTGTAGGTACTTCTTGTACCCTTTGAAATGAGCCCAAACACGATGGTGTTTCGTAGTGGCATAACTGAGGTTTTTTACCACACCTTCGTAGTCCACCATCATGAAAGTAATATAATCACATTGAACTAGGTCTTTGTAAACCCTTTCAAATGAGTTCAAACACGATCGTTCTACCTAGTGCCGCCACTGAGATCCTATAACCACCTACAGATAGCACCATCAAAAAGGTGAGGTCATAACAGTCACCTAGGTCTTTATGAGCCCTTTCACATGAGTTCAAACACGACCGTTCTATCTAGTACCACCACTGAGATCCTATACCCACCTTTCTGATAGTGCAATCCGAAGGTGGTTATAGGATCTCAGTGACGGCACTAGATAGAAGGATCGTGTTAGAACTCATTTGATAGGGCTCATAAAGACCTAGGTAACTATTATAACCTCACCTTTCTGATGGTGCAATCCGAAGGTGGGTATAGGATCTCAGTGACGGCACTAGATAGAACGATCGTGTTTGAACTTATTTGAAAGGGCTCATAAAGACCGAGGTGACTGTTATAACCTGACCTTTCTGATGGTGCAACCCGAAGGTGGGTATAGGATCTCAGTGACGGCACTAGATAGAACGATAGTATTTGAACTTATTTGAAAGGGCTCATAAAGACCTAGGTGACTGTTAAACCTCACCTTTCTGATAGTGCAATCCGAAGGTGGTTATAGGATCTCAGTGACGGCACTAGATAGAAGGATCGTGTTAGAACTCATTTGAAAGGGCTCATAAAGACCTAGGTGACTGTTATGATCTCACCTTTCTGATAATGTAGTTCGAAGGTGGGTATAGGATCTCAGTGACGGCACTTGATAGAAGGATCGTGCTTGAACTCATTTGATAGGGCTCATAAAGGCCTAGGTAACTATTATAACCTCACCTTTCTGATGGTGCAATCCGAAGGTGGGTATAGGATCTCAGTGACCGCACAAGATAGAAGGATCGTGTTTGAACTCATTTGAAAAGGCTCATAAAGACCTAGGTGACTGTTATAACCTCAGCTTTCTGATGGTGCAATCCCAAGGTGGGTATGGGATCTCAGTGACGGCACTAGATAGAACGATCGTGTTTGAACTTGTTTGAAAGGGCTCATAAAGACCGAGGTGACTGTTATAACCTCATCTTTCTGATGGTGCAATCCGAAGGTGGGTATGGGATCTCAGTGACGGCACTAGATAGAACGATAGTGTTTGAACTTATTTGAAAGGGCTCATAAAGATCTAGGTGACTGTTATGATCTCACCTTTCTGATGGTGCCCGGACGGAACAAGTATTTGTATGGCCTACAAATACCTATAATTGTTCTGGGTCTGTTCTATGTATGTAAACTGTCCCTGCGATACAGGAGAAAATACTAGTGTGGAGATAACGTTTTTTAAAAAGAGAGGAAGAGAGACAACAAATGAAATTAAAAGTTTTGTACAACCGACTTCAATACTTATACGCATTATTAAGGATAACTCCAAAACCACTGGTCAGATATTGATCATATTTCTATGGGATATATAAATTATAAGCACCAGCTTTCAAATAAAAATAGAATCATTAAAACCGATTCAACTAGAAAAAAGTTCTGGGGTAACATAAAAAAACAGTCGAATTGAGTACCTCCTCCTATTTTTGAAGTCGGTTAAAATGGTAAGTAGATAAATTATCTGAGCTTCAAAGACGTTCACGTTGTTATAATCTTAATTTTCCTTGATGTTTAACCTTCCTTACATTGAGCAATAAAGTTTTTATTATCGTCAAATTGATGGCTACGTGGCGCAGTGGCTTAGCAATGATTTGCAATGCTAGGGCCGCGGGTTCGAATTCCGCACGGAACAACTATGGCCTACAAATAATTGCTCCGGGTTTAGATGTTTGTCAATGGGTTGGCGCACGCTCTAGAGATAGGTAATTTAAAATAAACGATTAAAAATAAATAACATATTTATTAAATAAATAAAATTAACCACAATGAATTAAATTATCATAATATCTGATCTTTAGTCTGTGACACTTCTAAACTAAAAATTAATATTTAAGTCCCCCTCCCCTCACCCAAATGGGGGAGAAAACATTTTCTTGTGACTAGAGAAAACTAAACTAAATATAGTGTACGAGTATATGTGTTATGTAACTTAATACAATACCAATAATTTCTTATTTTATAAAACTCAACAAATTGGATTATCAAATAAATCAAATAATTATTTCATTAATTCGAGTTTTTATTTTATAATTTTTGGTACAATCCTAGCACGTTCGCTCGATGACGCAGCTATACGATGGTCGCGCGGTGGGCAAAGCGTTTTCAACTTCCGGTACGCAAGCAGAAGGTATATTTCTATTTGCAGCTAACGTCTGCGATTATTATAAAAAAATTGTAGGTTGTTACAGCGTAGATATTTTCGCTTTTGTATGGGAGAGATATTATATCTGTTATGTAGTAACATTATTTAAATTGTGCCTATAGTCTGTTCACCAAGATGTCGGTCAACCGCAGGCGCACTTATTATTTTGCTTATACATATTGTTGAAGCGCCTGTCAAATTATATTAGCAGTTCTCATGCCAATATTAGTCCGTAAGCTGTGTAGGTATGTTTAAAAAAAATGTTGTACCTGTCGTCGTTGTAAAATTTAGAGATCAAGTAAAGGTCGATTGAGCAAATTACTGCATTTTACTATTAAAAAGAGATCAAATTCCTATTCATGGTCCTAAATCGAAGCCGGATTTGAAAAAACGTAATTGGACAAGATATTATTTAGTGGAATACGCTTGGGAAGTCTTAAATATTCGTTGTGGAAATACCACCGAGGGAGTGAAGATATTTAACCAAGAAATCTGGAGTCTTAGCCCCTTAGATATTGGACTATTATTTAATTTATTTAACCCAGCACACATTATCAGGTAGTATTTTGTGTAAATCGACTGCTAATTTATCAGGTTAGTACCAAATTACCTATAAAATAATTACGTATAACTTAAAGTATTTAATCGGCTAAAATTCATTTAATATTGTTTTATATAGTTTCTAATAACCGTCAAATCATGATTAAATCAAATTATAAAGCTTAGTTAAATTATATTGACGATATTATAATTTTTTTTTTTCTCTCTTTATTGGTTTAAACTGTTTTTTAAAAAATAAGTCAAGAGAGTGTATAATTGAAAAAATTGCATAATATTATTTATTACATACTAAGGCATACCTGTGAAGCTGTTTGATGGTCTGAATTGTATTTGTTACCCTTAATTGTTGTTAATTATAAAGTTAAATATCAAGGTAGTACATGTACCATTTTGTTTAATTATTTAAGAGTTTGAAAAATAAGTAAGGGAATTAGTTTTCATTTCTTTACAACTGTAAGCAAAATTGTACAAAACTACTTATGAATTATATTTTATAAAATATAAACTTCTTGTTTGTATAAATTTCAGGCATTTGCACTAGTCTCCCAATACCAGCCAGCATGCCAGAAGATAAGGAGCAAATTAGGAAACGAGCTAGTTACAAGGGACAAATAACAGCTTTTTCAAATTATTTAAATTCACTGAAGGTATCTTCATTGGCTGCTACTGAGGTAAATGAGTTGCAATTACGTATTAGTAGGATTGAGTCAATGTATGAACGATATGATGAGGTACAATTATCCATCGAGTGTAATACTGATAATATAGACGCCCAGATATCAGAACGAACTGATTTTGAATCCCTGTATTTTAAATCGCTTTCTCTTGCAAAAAGGATCTTAGCAGATTGCATTAAGTCAGATGACGTAAGCAGTGACGGTGGCTCTCATTCCGGCAATCATAAATTTGTTAAACTGCCCACTATTCAACTACCTAAATTTAATGGTTCTTATGATAATTGGTTAGAGTTTCATGACACGTTCATGAGCCTCATACATTCAAATGACGAGATAGATGACATAAATAAGTTTCACTATCTGAGAGCGTCGTTGGAAGGGCCCGCTGCTGTGGTAATACAGTCAATCGAATTCTCGGCAGCTAATTACACCGTCGCATGGACTATATTATGTGATAGATATGATAATAAAAGACTACTAATTCAAAATCACGTGACAGCCTTATTTAATATAGCACCAATTAATAAAGAATTGTCTGTCAACTTAAAACGTCTTATTGACCAAATAAATAAAAATTTACGTGCACTAGAATCTCTCGGTGAGCCAACTAAACAATGGGACACACTTCTCATTCATATTATTACTCAAAAATTAGATGCTAAGACATATCGTGAATGGGAAGAGTCTAAAGGTCGTTTGGAGAAAGATACACCTATTACGTTCGATATATTTTTGATGTTTTTAAAAAATCGAGCCGATTTAATCGAAACACTAGAAATGTCTAATTCTGGTGCTACTAACCGTTTAAATTCTTCTATAAAATATGCTCCAAAAGTTAAGGCAATGGTTTCAGTGCGGGATACCGGTAATAAAAACGGTTCGGCCTTTTCCGCCAAACTGTGTCCTAAATGTAAGGGTGACCATAAGTTAAGCAGTTGTCCTCAGTTTCTTGGATTAAGTAACGATGTGCGTCTACAGTTACTGCCAGAGTATAAAGTATGTTTCAATTGTCTTAATTCAGGGCATTATGCAAATCACTGCAAAAAGCCAGGATGCAAAATATGCCACCGAAAGCATAACACTCTCGTGCACGTCGCAGATTACCAGTCAAAACCAATTACAGATATTAATACATCTAACACGAGTAGTGGTAATAATAAGCCCGTTATGCAAGGTCATTTCGAACAAACAAACAGTTCGACCGGCTCACAGTTGTCATCCAATTCTAACGCACATCTGTCATTATCCGCAAAGGTAGGCACTGCATCGTGTAGTGAACAAGGCGACGTATTGTTATCGACGGCATTAATTAAAGTTATAGGTAAGAATGGTTGTCCATATATTGCTCGTGCTATTCTTGATAGTGGCAGTAACGCTTGTTTAATAACTGAAGAGTTATATCAAAGGCTAGGTTTGCCCGCTCAAAATGTAAATCAGTCGGTAGTCGGTATTAATAATGCTTCGGCACACATCAAGAAGATTTGTAAGGTATCGATAAAATCATTGAATGATAACTTCTCTAGTAATCTTCATTGTTTTGTCCTACCATCAATAACCCAAAATGTACCTACTAGATATGTTAATTTGTCAAACTTAAAAATTCCATCTAATATTTCTCTGGCAGATCCTAATTTTCACTCACCTGCTCCCGTTGACATGCTTATAGGTGCTGATGTCTTTTGGGACTTAATAGGAACGCAGAGATTAAAATTAGGGGACGGTCAGCCGATTCTTTGTGAAACTAGCTTAGGATGGTTAGTATCAGGTCCGATAGATTATAGATATGTAAAGAAAGGGGTTAACTTTATTAAATGTAATTTTACAAGAATATTTCAAGATGAGGCTAGTAATGATTTAGATGAAGATATACAAAAACAATTAGTACGCTTCTGGCACCTCGAAGAGGTAAGCCCTGCGTCTCTTTATTCAAACGAAGAAAAATTATGCGAAGAACACTTTTTAAAAAAACACCACGCGACTGGCAAATGGTCGATTTTGCGTGAGGATACCCTTAAAACATAATCCTGACGTATTAGGTGATTCTTGGCCACGAGCTAAAAAGTGTTTACTATCGCTAGAGCGCAGGTTAGCAGGTCAATCTCAGGTCTATGAAATGTATAAAGAATTTATGTCAGAGTATGAAAGTCTGGGTCATATGGAGAAATGTGAGAATGATAATTTACCACGTAAGATGCATTTTATACCACATCACGGTGTGCTTCGGGAAAGTAGTACTACTACTAAATTAAGAGTCGTTTTCAATGCTAGCAGTCCGACTTCTTCGGGTGTTTCCTTGAATAATATACAGATGGTAGGTCCCGTGGTACAGGACGACCTTTTGTCCATTCTTTTACGCTTTCGGCTACACAAATACGTTCTCACAGCTGATGTTGAGAAAATGTACCGGCAAATAGTCATTCATCCCGATGACCGCTATTTGCAACAAATTGTCTGGCGTGATAACCCTTCAGAACAGCTTCAAGCTTATCAACTTAACACCGTGACTTACGGCACCTCTAGTGCTCCCTTTTTGGCAACTAGGTGCCTCCAACAATTAGGCTTAGAGTGTACCGATGACAAGGTTGCTCAAGTGATCATTCACGATTTTTACGTTGATGACTTGCTAACGGGAGGGGATGATATTAACGAGGTTACAGATTTGCGCCGTAAAGTGACTTCCACACTTGCATCAGCTCATATGGTTTTGCGAAAGTGGAAGTCGAATGAATCTCAACTGGTTAGTGAAAATGATATTTCTCCGCTTGATTTGAATATTGGTGGCTTTGAACCGACTAAAACTTTAGGCCTTGGTTGGCAATCACATACTGACCAACTTTGTTTCCCTATAGGAGGGCTATTCTCAGGTAGAACAAAGCGTGATATGTTATCTGTGATTTCTCAGATTTTTGATCCACTAGGACTTCTATCTCCCTGTGTAATTAAGATGAAAATGCTTCTTCAACAGTTGTGGCTGCTCAAGCTGTCATGGGATGAGCAGTTGACGCCAGAAATCAGCAAGATGTGGGCTGAGATAATAGTCGATTTACCTAAATTAAATACTCTACGTATTCCACGTCGTGTTATTTGTGACTCGCCTAGTTTGTTTGAATTTCATATTTTCTCGGACGCTTCTGAGCGAGCATATGGCGCCTGTTTATATGTGCGTAGTGTTAATGATCAGGGTGAGGTTTTAATTCAATTATTGATGGCGAAAAGTCGTGTCGCGCCGCTTAAACCTATAACAATCCCAAGACTGGAACTTTGTGGTGCACTTGTTGGAGCTCGCCTTTACCAAAAGGTTGTAGCATCGCTGAGACAACAGGCTAAGCGCACTTTCTTTTGGACAGATTCGTCCATCGTGTTAGGATGGTTAAAGGTGTTACCTAGCAAGCTACAACCCTTTGTCAGAAATAGGGTTGCTGAAATATTAGAGAAGACTGGAAATTGCGAGTGGAGGCATGTCCCAACAGAGTGTAATCCGGCCGATCATATTTCTCGCGGTGTGAGTTGTAAGGATATTTCATCCATGAGTAAGTGGTGGTCAGGACCTGAATTTTTAAAGAAAGAGGTCTCTCACTGGCCTGCAAATTTCTTAAGTATTAATCACGAGTTGCCTGAGATTAAATCGTCAAATGTTATCCTCCACGGAATACTTCATTCTAGCAACAATGAAGATTTAGGTGGGAATAAATTAATTGAATTTAAACGCTTTTCTAAATATACTAGATTAAATCGGACCGTTGCTTATGTGCTGCGTTTTATTAATAATTGTAGAAAGCAATCCGTTCACGGTCCTCTAAGCAATCAAGAGTTGCAAACCGCACTCAATGTTATTATAAGAATATCCCAGAGTGAATCATTTGAGGAATACACCATGTTAATTAAAAATAAAAGTTTACCCACTAAAAGTCCGTTGCATAAATTTAATGTATTTCTCGATGATAATAAAATAATGCGTGTTGGAGGGCGTCTTGAAAATTCCGATTACTGTTATGAGAAAAAACATCCCATACTTATACAGTCCACTCATTATTTTACCAAATTGCTCTTCAATTATGAGCACATAAGGTTAATGCACGCGGGACCACAGCTAATGTTGGCCACTATAAGAGAGATGTACTGGCCGATTAGAGGTCGTAATTTGGCCAGATCTTGTTATCGACAATGTGTAAGATGTAATAGAATGAAAGGAAAAACCATCTCTCCAATAATGGGCAACCTACCACACCAACGCATCCTTTCTGGTTTTCCATTTCAAAATATTGGACTAGACTATGCGGGACCAATTCAATCTGTTTCTCGCCATGGCCGTGGTTGTAAAATTGTAAAGGTGTATATAGCTATTTTTATTTGCTTCGCGACTAAGTCAATTCATCTTGAATTAGTGGGTGATTTAACTAGCAATACCTTCATATTAGCTTTGCGCAGATTTATGTCTAGAAGAGGGAAACCTCTTAATATTTATTCGGATAATGGTACCTCCTTTGTAGGCGCATACAATGACATTTCAAAATTTATTAGGACGTGTTGTAATTCTTTATCTGAGGTAATGGCAAATGAAGGAATTAATTTCCATTTCATACCGCCTTATTCTCCCCATTTTGCTGGGCTTGCGGAGGCTGGTGTCAAATGCATTAAATATCATTTAGTTAGAGTGCTGGGCAATTGTAATGTGACTTACGAGGAACTAAATACCACATTAATACAAATTGAGGCTATACTTAACTCCAGACCACTCACACCTTTGTCAACGAATCCTGAAGACTTGCTACCACTAACGCCCGGTCATTTTTTGATTGGACGCCCCTTGACTTCTTTGCCGACACCAGACTATAAAGATCATTCCGTAAGCTCTTTAACCCGATTTCAACGAATAGAACAATTACGTCAACATTTTTGGGCTAGATGGAGCAAGGAATATATATCAGAGCTTCAACTGCGGATGAAATGGCGTTCCTGTAAAGGCTCTTTGAAGTTAAATTCACTGGTACTCCTAAAAGAGGAGAATTCACCGCCATTAAAGTGGAAGATGAGTCGCATCGTCGCAGTCCATCCAGGCTCGGACGGCGTATCAAGGGTGGCGGATATCAAAACATCGACTGGTATAGTTCGCCGATCATTTAGCAAAATTTGTCCGCTTCCTGAACCTGAAGAATCTGGTTGAAAGGTAGACTTTCAACGCCGGGGGGCATGTTGAAGCGCCTGTCAAATTATATTAGCAGTTCTCATGCCAATATTAGTCCGTAAGCTGTGTAGGTATGTTTAAAAAAAATGTTGTACCTGTCGTCGTTGTAAAATTTAGAGATCAAGTAAAGGTCGATTGAGCAAATTACTGCATTTTACTATTAAAAAGAGATCAAATTCCTATTCACATATTTAATTATTTTTTACTGTATTTAAATAAATGTTTATCTATTCTAAGAATAAAATAGAATACTAATTTATTGTTATGGTTATTGTAACAAAATACGAATATAAATAATAAACACAAGTTAGGTAGCAAAGAGAATTTTCATGAAAGTAAGCATAAACGAAAGTAAAATGGACACTAGTTTTGCCAAATTCACGTGCGGATGTATGCCGCATGCGACGACCTTTGATGTCGCGGCGACGATCTTTGATAATGCGGCGGCGCCTTTGACAAGTAGCGGCATGTGCTAACACAAAGGAAACCGTATCTAAGCGAACAGAATTTACACCGTTGGCCGTCATTAGGAGCTTCACCGCGATGGCGTCTGTACGTGCAGTAACTGCAGAATTCATTGAAAAATACCACGAGTGTGAATGTTTGTGGAAAATAAACAACCCATTTTATAAAAATAAACAAAAAAGATTGTCTGCATTAGAGGCGCTGTTGCAGATATTGCGTAAACAAGACAAAAATGCAAATATGGATTCCGTAACTAAAAAAATCTATAATTTAAGATGTGCCTTTAAAAAGGAGCACAATAAGGTATGTATATCATGTAATAGGTATCACTCATCGTTTTCAGATGGCCATTTTAAGATTGCCCCTTTATCGAAACATCGACCCACTCTGCCACTCTTTCTACCTGCGTGTGCGTGGCGTAAATACCAGTTGTGTATCGCTAGCAACGCAAAGTCGGGAATTTGCATTTGGAAAAATCCAAAATTAGGGGCTTTTTAGGTGCTAATTAGGTGCCAAGTTTAAAAATTAGGTGCTTTAAAATTTTCACCGCAACGAACTGTTGAAATTTGCGTTGCTAGCAAAACGTCTCGCTAGCAACGCAATGAAGTTATTAGATATACGATAAATATTAATAGCAAGGAATTAAGTGCTAATTAGGTGCTGCAAGTATACGCAATAACAAGGCGCCCCTAATAAAAATAAAGTCGTTATTCAGAACATAGCAGATGCAAAATTCACATTTCCTGAAAATCAAAATAGAATCAAAATTGCTTTCAGAAAAAGTCCCAATTAGGGGCTTTTTAGGTGCTAATTAGGTGCCAAGTTTAAAAATTAGGTGCTTTAAAATTTTTACCGCAACGAACTGTTGAAATTTGCGTTGCTAGCAAAACATCTCGCTAGCAACGCAATAAAGTTATTAGATATACGATAAATATTAATAGCAAGGAATTAAGTGCTAATTAAGTGCTGAGCGATTATTGAAATCCGATACAGATTAAGATATTATTCTGGGAATTATGGGGTCCACGACCACCATTACTTTACCATAATGTATGAACAGCATTTTTTGTTCTTTATCATTACCTAAAAATTAAGTGCTAATTAGGTGCTGAAAAATTATTGAGGTCGCATGTAGATGACGGTAATATTCTGGAAATTAACGGATTTAAAACCACCATTACCTTACTATAAGGTATGAAGAGCATTTTTTGTTTTTCAGATTTAATATGATTATATTTGAAAATGGTTGAAAATTGGTTGAAAAATATATTAAATAATATTATAGATTTATAATATTATTTAATATAATTTTCAACCAAATAAATGTTACAATTCTTATTTTTAGACATGTGAAGCCTAAACTTTATGTGCTAAATCGAAAGGATTTTTTCTTTCCAGTAAATTGCTATGTAATAAATATCGCCATCTACAACGTTCTATAGTTCTAGTAATTTTATCAAATCAAAATCGATGGACTCTCAAGGTGGTAAGTACGATAGACGCTAGATGGCACAAACACAAATACCTGATTTTTGCATTTGCTTTGCTGAATAATTTTCTGAATAAGGACTTTATTTTTATCTGGGGCGCCTTGTCATAGCCTATACTTGCAGCACCTAATTAGCACTTAATTCCTTGCTATTAATATTTATCGTATATGTAATAACTTCATTGCGTTGCTAGCGAGACGTTTTGCTAGCAACGCAAATTTCAACAGTTCGTTGCGGTGAAAATTTTAAAGCACCTAATTTTTAAACTTGGCACCTAATTAGCACCTAAAAAGCCCCTAATTTGGACTTTTTCTGAAAGCAATTTTGATTCTATTTTGATTTTCAGGAAATGTGAATTTTGCATCTGCTATGTTCTGAATAACAACTTTATTTTTATTAGGGGCGCCTTGTTATTGCGTATACTTGCAGCACCTAATTAGCACTTAATTCCTTGCTATTAATATTTATCGTATATCTAATAACTTCATTACGTTGCTAGCGAGACGTTTTGCTAGCAACGCAAATTTCAACAGTTCGTTGCGGTGAAAATTTTAAAGCACCTAATTTTTAAACTTGGCACCTAATTAGCACCTAAAAAGCCCCTAATTTTGGATTTTTCCAAATGCAAATTCCCGACTTTGCGTTGCTAGCGATACACAACTGTAAATACCTAAAATCGCGCGAAATTACATACGCAGTCAGCAATGTACTAGGGAATTTTAAAGCTTTTTTTAACATTGTTTACGTAAATATAATTTTTGTAAATACTTCAAAATAATTTTGTTTATTATAAATTAAGTAATTAAGAAAAAAATAGTTGTAAAATTTTGGTGTAATTTATATCTAAGTATTAGACATGGAACGAGTAGTGATACGCCGAGTACTCGGCCACTGGGTACTCTGCCTAGATTGGGCCGAGTACTCTGCCGAATACTCGGCTTTAAAAAAACGCGGTAGCGGGCGGCGTGCGGTTATTTCCCTTACAAACAAGACCCAAATAGGACCGAAAAACTAGTGTTTTTGCATCACAAACTTCCTCTCTTAAATTTTAAATGTTAGTAATAATAATTTCTATTAAAGATACTTATGTACGTTCTAAATACTGCTGCTGCTTCTCGTGTTCCTGATGTTTTAATGTGTCTAATATAATAATAATGATAAAACTGGCTTTTCGTCTATTTTTCTCTGGAATATAATTAAGGCCGCGTAGGTACTCGGTACTCGGCTGTTTATACT